CATGCACATCTCGTGTGACACACACACCTGTTACCAGGGTACGTGTAACCCCGTTACATTTAACGCTTATGTGCGTTATCAAAAATGCACAGGTATGAGCTCAAATACCGTCCCGAGGACGTAAAATCCAGATACTCTCATGTAATGCTACTTTAGACTCGCTTCAAAAAGGAGTGTGACACTTGACGTTAAGCTACATCACACACTCCAGTGTGCTAGCAGCTCGCGTGGCCCTTGGGTCTATTCTTTGGGAGCCATCACTCCTATCCCGTTCCTAGTACGAATAACGTTGCTTTACAATGATGCTTATGAGCTTTCTTTTCGTCGAACTCGAAGGATAGAAGCGTACTATAAGCCTATATCATGACAATCAGAATCTTAGTTCAAAAAATAACAACCCATCTTTCTATTAAAGTTAAGAATCCCGATAAATCAATTTCTTTAAATTGGCTGCATTTTGCGGTTAGTTGAAATACAGATAAGGATAATATCCCAAGCCAATGATTTCTATAAGGCCCTCTGAAAAATTTAAACGGTTATATTAGGAGTTACAGATGACGAAACACTTGTATGACATCGTTGAGAAATGTCGCGATCCAGTTGAGCAGGTGGTGATGATAAATTGTAAACTTTGCACCATAAGCGCAGTCTAGAGATCAAGATAGACACGTCTGTACACGTAGGTGATTGGGTGTTCGTGCACATACTGAGGCCATCAGTTAACGTTAAGCCGATGCTTGTCAACCTATATAGCAGTTACGATATGAAATGATTGTGGAAGAAATGGCGACGCAATGAAGGGCTTGCATTTACAAATAATGACAGATCGCCAGCTACGCAGGTTACGTATTCATACTCGATGCATAATCGTATGAACACGAAAGATCTAGATTCAATTTTCAAATCAGCTTTGAATTTGCTACACAATTATAAGATCACACACTCATTTTGATAAGAGATCTGGTTTTTCCTACAAGGCGATATATGTGTTTATAAGTCGTTTTACTAAACTTAACTGACTCCTTTCTTTGACAGGTGGTCGGCATGTCAACATGTACGGTACCTGGACAGTCTATTCATTTGGGTAAAGTGAACCGAATATATGTATCCAACCTTATCAGATCAACCCTTATTCTGATACGTTTAAGCCCTTGAAGCATTACGATGTTGGTTGGAGCTCATCACATATTTAAGAAGTTACAATGCTAGCGACCCTCTTTTTTTGCACTTTTTGATAAGCCTCTTGGAAGGTGCAGTGCGCGGCTGGGCGACCCATGTGACTTACTTTCTCGAATTTTCTTAGTGTCTGTCCATTTGACAATTCTCACACAAGATTTTTATATTCTTTTGATAAATATTGAGTATGCGAGAAATTTAATAACATTACATTTTCATTCTGAATTGATAGATTTCAAAGACTTGTAGTAACCACATGAACGATATGTATGAGCCGAGTGTTGGCATGTCGGGATAGCTCAGCATTCGTTCAAAGCGATGTCATTGCCATCCATATGCGATGATTCATGATGGCTAAAATATGCTGCTGATACCTGGATTTTAGCAGATTCCAGCCTGTTTGGCACTTCTGCTTTTATCATCTCCTTTTCTGGGTCGCATTCGTCAAGTCGTATGTGAGTTTACGACCCGTAGACTTTCCCAGCTGAGATAGTCTCCGCATGCACGATAGGATTTCCTAGCCCAGACTTTCTTGTATCTAGAGCACTAAACACTTCCGCACAACGAGCCAGTTCGTCAGAACCTCAAGAATTCGGAGATGAGCTCAAACGATCACGAATGTAGCGGGCATCATCAACCAGTTCTTTCAAAACTTATATTGTAGTTATCAGCCTTCGCAGCAAAAGCTTCATTGATTGCTTAGATAGCAATAAAACCTTCTCATAAAATGCATTCACTGATATAACTTTCGCACAGCAAGATTGAAAGTCTTAGTTTAATATTTCTCACAGTTGTTGTAACCTGAACTCATCATGTAGCACCCAGTTCATCTGTTATATCCTTTAGGGTATATAAAAGCTTATCTTTGGGCTCTGTTGTGAGTGGGAAGGTGCATGACACGAAGCGCAACTGAATCAAAGTACACCATGGATTATGGGAAGATTGCAGTCATCGGTCCATGTACATTCCATTGGCGTATCGCATGCTTTAGTATTATGTTGGTGTATACTGTTTAAGCTGCCTTTGGAATGATCAACTCTGTATGATCAATAAGCCGATTCCCTGTGACAAGTGATTGGTGTCTGGGCACGCCGATGATCAGCTCGATCCGATCAAACTTTTTTGATTCGAAGCATTATTCATTTCGTCATCTAGGCAACACATCCTCCCAACGCACTGCGCAACCAACTTCCCCTAATTCTTCCACATGAAGCTTTTCATTCCTACCATGATCGCCGGTGTGGCACTTACTCTTGAGTACGCAAATGCTCTGAACGTCAAAATCTTCGGTTGCGAATACAGTCCTCGCAAGGGACCCGAATGGGCTGCTGACAATGAAAAGTGCAAGTCCGAAGATGAGGTGGAAAAGGACATGAAAGCACTGGCGACCATCACGGACAAAGTTCGTATCAACTCCTTGTTGGACTGCAATGTGTCCTCGATCGTCCTGCCTACTGCCAAAAAAGCTGGTCTCCAAGTGCACCTCGGTATCTGGATGTCTTCGGGCGAGCAAGAATGGCAACTTGAAAAGGACCAGTTTTCTAGTCTTCTTAAGTCGGGCATGTTTGACAAAAACATTATCGCTGTGGATGTTGGTAGCCAAGCTATCTCTCGTGAGCAAGTCGACACAGATCTTGCCATTTCCCAAATGAAAACAATTCGGGACCAAATTCGCGAAAGCGGCTTTAACACCCCAGTCACGATTGCTGAAACGATTGATACTTATGTGGCCAATCCAAAGCTTATCCAAGCGGTAGACTTCGTCAACGTCATCCATTTTCCTATTTGGGACCGCGTTGCCAGCAATGAAGGTGCTTCAAAGATGCTTGACCGTCTGAGGTCCTTACGTATGACGGCTGCCTTGGCGAACAAGAAAACTCAAATCGCGTCGACGGGTTGGAGTTCAAATGGATCGGATCCAAATGCGGCTACCGCCACTCCACAAGACCAAGCCCGATATCTGTCTGACATACACCAAATGTCCGTCGCAAACGATATCCCCTTCTACTGGTACACCTACATCGACCAGCCATGGCGTGTGAAAGAGATTGAGGCGAATTTCGGCCTCTTTTCGGTGAACAATACCCTTAAATCCAACATCGACAACTTGAACATCACCCTGCTGGACCCGTTCCTGATTCAGAATGAAGCGACAAGTTTGTACTTGTCCGAATCCACGAACGAGGTGTACATGTGGGAGAAGTCGAAGGAATACATGGCCACTGAAGAACAGGTGTGGTTCTGGAATCCTGCTACGCAGCAGTTGCGTTGCCTGAGTAACTTCCAATGCCTTGACGCCTATCAGCCTCAAGACCGCGGATTCGTCCACATGTTTCCTTGTATCGACACCGAAGGTAACCAGAAATGGAGATTTGACAACAAAACCAACCAACTCCAGCATATCACTCACAATGGCCTCTGTCTGGATATCGACACGGAACGCTCGAACCGCATCCAGATCTTCACGTGCTCAAACAAGACCATGACGCAGAAATGGGATTTTATTGAGAAGGCCAGTGCTTACTAAGTTGTCTTGTGCCTCGTATTGACGAGCATATCTGATTCTTGATATTTCGCTTAAATCAATTCCACGTTCGTCATAACTTTTTTTCTCATACATGATTTGAAGCCTACTCAAAAATATGTCTATTGCAATCCTAATTTCACAGTAACCCCAACATTCTTTCGCATGTCGTCTGTATATCAACCGCACACAGGCCAAGACGTTGCTCTTTTCGATAATATAGGATTCGAACAGCAAGAGATGACCATCCTAAACATTTTTTGGTCGGATTTTGAGCATAAGGAGCTGCCTCAATATGGTTGGCTACTGAGCAAGACTGAATCGCAAGTCGAACTAGCGTCTGCTGTCAGTGTTAGGAGTAAAAGCATCTTCGTGTGGTTTCACAGTTTGGTATTCCAAATCGTAAGTTATTTTGACTACAATGTAAATTGATGTCGTGCATAACATTATCATCGATATTACGGTTGGAGCCCCCTGGCGTTGTGTCTGTTATGATATGCTAGCCCAAGACACAAGTAGCAAGACATCTTATCGAGAGGAAGGGCAGCTTCAGCACAGTTTGGGTTAGCTTGTTCAAAATGAATTACTGTCAGGATGGCGTATAGTGCTGTTCTTGCAAGTGTTGCTATAACATTGGGACCTGCATACTTGCTAAGCTTCATGAAGAAAACTGCTCGGCCTTACGAAGCTGCGCCATATTCGTATTAGTCTGCAGCAAATCTATAGCAGCTGCGGCGGATATCACTAGGTATGACATGCTTCTGCTTTCTCATTAATGAAGCAAGATATCACTGAAGCAAAATATATTAGTTTTTGAGCACATTCATCTGACAATTTTATAATCAAAGAATGACCATCACTCTTCACCGTAAACCACCATTGCCAAGACGATATGTCGACATGTCACTTTAGGGCCTCGTTTCATGGCTTCATGTTTGGCTCACGATTTCTCACTCCTATTCTGTGTAAGACTAATCTCTGACGATCTTCTGGCTGACCTCTTTAACCAATTTTCGATAACGACTACAAGCAAGCGACACTGGTGCTGTCTTCTGAGCTCCATAACGACAATTGGGCTACTAAGTAGACTACATGATCGTATTGTGATCGAGATATCCAGCTCCGACCATGAATAATGCACATTTTGGGGCCAGACAACATAAAATTAGTAAAATTGATTCACTTGGGGGTATAGTTTAGGCCTCAGAATTATTTTAGATCCAACATCCTCAAAACACAAGTTTTGTCCTCTCTGCCCAAAGTCTGGGCTCTAGAAATCGTAAGGCGCTATCGGTGTTGACCATGGCAATACCATATTTTCATATTGTAGCCTTGATTAATCTTAACAATGGGTAGCTAAGCTCAGAGCGGCTTTTTAGCAAGTAAGATCATGCAATGTGCACTAGACGTAGTTTCAATTATGGTGAAAAGCTTTTCGGTTCAAATTCATTGCATCTATCGACGACAATATATTGGTGTCAGACTGTATAAGCAACAGAGAGGAGATTAATGTCGTCGTCACAATGACAAGCCAAGTAAACAAAGTAACCTTTCGAAAAGGGATCTTGTGACCGGAATAATGTTGTTATGTCATCTATCCAAAGTGCAGTGACATTGAAAATGAAACGATTGCTTTTCATCTGATAGACAGTCACGAACCAGATCTGATTGTCGTATATTCAGCTGCAGCTTTTAAAGCAATAGTGCCACTAGCGCAGGAAGCATCGACAAGCAAACATTTTGACTTAAGTATCTCATTCAATTTCGTACAATTACGATCATGAGAGCGTTGCAAGTATTCAAAGACTTTCAACTGCTTTCAATTCGACAACTGAAAAGTAAATTTTCTTTCATGGAGTTGATACGAATGTAGCAATTAAATTCAATTTGCTTTTGATTGTAGAAAGGAAGAATTTAATTTACGTAACCACTCGGAGAGGGGGAGAAGAAAAGATTGGCTGGTTCAGCGGGTGGGTGTGGACGTGGCAAGAGTATTGCTATCAAGCTTTCGATTCTTGTCAAATTTAATTCACAGCTTTTCGTCATTTCTTACTACATTTGTAAGAAAAGAACCTTTACAAAAACATACCTAACGCATAAAACAACCAATTTAAACTTCCTCACGGGGGCTTAAGTTTTAATCTCAATCGAACCAGCGACTAGCCACTTTCGTCTAGTGCACGAGACATAGCCTTCTTTCCGTGATTTCTATCAAGACAATCAACACATAGAGAATCAATTGAGTCTCTACCGCCCGTTGTGGCATCTCCAAGTACGTGACAAAGTGTAGAACAAATAAAATCGACTTTTTCTTGAGCACATGTCGAGTATGAACGACGAAGACAGCAATGTCTACTCATCTGGCTTTCAACCAATGCCTTCACCCCCTCCGCCACCTCCAATAACGTCTGTAACCAAGTCTAATTATACAGGTAAAGCTCGAATTATTCAATCTTCGGTCTATGCCAGTCGAGACTCAAGGAGAGCAAAAGCACGTCGCAAAAAGACTGGAACACAAATGAATGCGTCACAACCTGTTAAAGTGATGAATGGAAACGACTCGACAATTTCTACGGGTAGTGATCCTCATGCTCGTCCTGCTCATATGCTGAGCGTTGTTGAGCTATGCAATAATAGTGAAGAAGATGTTGAAAGTGTGACGACGACAGCAATTGATACACCAATGCAATCAGCTGATGAAGATGGTAATGAGACGGGAGATGATGGATGGGCAGATCATAATCGATGGTATTGTAATATATGTAAGGATGGAGGCGAATTATTGTGCTGCGATCGATGTCCTCGAGCATTTCATATGAGCTGGTGCGTTTATTGTATGAAGGAATGAAATTTAGTGCTTAATTAGATGATTTGATACAGTTTAGGCATGAGTGATGATATGATTCCGACAAGCGAGTGGTATTGCAAAATGTGCTCGTAAGTGACTGGATCAAGAAGTTATTGCTATTGATTGAATATGGAAAATGTGATTTTTGATGTAACTCGTTGATCGATTGCAGTGAATGTTTGGACCGACGTCGTCAGAAAAAAGAGTCGAAAGAAAAAGCACGAGTGATGCGCGAGACAGAAAAACTTGAACGTGATGCTCGTCGACGCCAAGCTGAACAAATGAGGGAAGAACTTCAAGCTAAAAAATCCGTGGAAGCAATTGAATTAAAAGCAAAGCGCATCTTGGAAATGCAAGATCGTATTTTAAGTCGTAAGAAAGTCAAGTACAAAGATAAAGAGGAAGAAAAACTTGGAAAACTTGCAGAAGATCTTGGCAAGACCGTACGAGTATCAAAAGAAAAACTAGAAAAGCTAGAGAAAGAAGATGCAGCACTTCGAAGGAAAGAAGAAGCTTTGAACAAAAAGAAACGTGACATTGATGCTATTCCACGTGAAGTGATGGAAGATACGTCGCATCTGGACAAACCAACGTACGTACAAAAGAATGTTCTGTGATTTAGACATTTCGCTCATATTTTGATCGTCAATCAGTCCACTGCCATGTGATTTTGGAGATGTGCCGACGAAATATATTGGCAATGTCTTAGCAATTTGGGACTGTCTTTATGTGTTTCGTGACGCTCTTGAACTTGCAGAAATTTCTGTCGACCAATTTAGCCGCGCAATCTGCTTTTCGAAACACTCACCGATACTTACAGAGATTCACTTGTGTTTACTAGAAATGATTCTCGAAGATAGGTGCGAAAACTATGCTCATAGATTGATATAATTGTAGTTAATCACCGTGAAATACTGCAATTTTTAACGCTTTTCTAGGGAAGGAGAAGATTATGTTTCAGATGATGAATCACCCGTTGACGATGGTGAACGATATCGCTACGAAGTTCAGCACGCACCATTAACTGTTGGCATGCCAACGCGCTCAATGCTGACAGCTCTAACGTGGCCATCAATTCTATGCAGTTTGATTGCGGCCGTACCTCGTTATACAACGCACGCGACATCGACATTTCTGGCAGCGTTTCATGCTCTGCACGACACTGACTATCCTGAATTATCAGTGCAACACAAACTAGCGTTATTGCATTTTCTTGTTGGTCGCTTTGTTGGTACAGAACGTGTGCGTGAGTTGTTGAATCGACATCTTGATGATACAATTCAAAGCACAAAAGAGTACAATCGCACTGTACTACTCGACAAGAAAGTCACGGTAGAGGAAGAAAAGAAACTTAGAGAGAAGCAGCGTGCAGAGCTCGCTAGGATTGTCGAATCAAATAAGACTTCCGTATTGGACAAGGCTGGTACGGAGGAGTTGGAGGAGAGTAAAATTGAGTTTGAGGGAGAAGTAGGCTCTGCGAGCGACTCAGATTTAGATGCTTTGGCGTACAATGAAGAAGCTTTGTTGAAGAACGATGAAGAGCTCGAGAAGCTTCAGCTGCAGGACTTTATCTCGCGTCATGAATACGTTGCTCGAAAAAATAAACTTGAAAAACAGCGCGAGCGGTTGCGTCAGCGTATGGAAGTGAAGCAACGTAAGCATAAACTTCATGAACAACTTGAACGGAAACGCATGCAGGCAAAGAAGAGCATTACCGATGGTTTGACATCCAAAGATGCCGACATGCTTCGTAGTGCCATTGATAAAGGCAAAGAATGTGGTTTACCAGATAAAGTTATCGTCTCAGCAAGACATGTGTTGGAAATTCTCGATGCAGAAGCAATTCGAGAGCGAAAGATTGTGGAAACGAAGCGTAAATGGAGCGCATTGCTTCGTCAATCATTTGTTCGAACTGAGCCTATCGGACGTGATCGAGACCAATTTCAGTACTGGGTTTTACGAGGAGATTTGCGACGTGTGTTTGTGCAAAAATCTGGTCCATCAGACAAGTTGCAACGTCGATACGAGTCACTACCAAAGAGTGGATCTCCACGGGATAACTTGGTCCAAGTGGATGACAATAATAATGCGACGTGGTATTGCTACGCGTCTCAAACGGAAGTGAATTGCTTAATGGAAGCACTTGATCCGCGTGTACCTCGTGAGGCATTGCTTCGTTCAGCTTTAGCGGACGAGTTAGTCGAGCTGTCGAACGAAATGCCTGTGTCCAAGCCAGGATTATTGATCTCCGATTTGCTCAACGAAGAAAATACGAAGAAGCGCGCACAAAGTTCGACTGGCGTGTTGGTTGATGAGGAAACCGAGTTTTTACAATGGAAGAATGTCAAACACCCGAAGAGGCGAGCAGTGTTACATGTCGAACCAGGAGTCGAGTCGTTCCGTGAAGAGTTGCTTAAGGGTCAAAATTGGATTTGCAAATGTCTACGTACACTTGGGTCGACGTGGCCAGATCGTCCAGAAAATGGTGGAATCGAGTGGCGCAAAGCTGTGCAAACGATTGACAAGATGGAAGACTTTATGCAGTATTTGTTGGTGCTAGAAAGCGAGCTGATGGTGACGCAAAAAACAAAGCGAGGGGTGGGCAGTGCTACAACGACTGATCCCATTGAAGGTGAATCACACGCTAGAACGGAAAGTTTTGATGAAAAGAGCGAAGACGAGGAAGACGAAGAGGATGAGGAATTGTTGGTAGATGATGGCACAATGCTCTGGCCATCTAAGTCTAGTCGAGAGCGCTGGCTTCAAATGGTCAAACGTGGCAAGACCGTTGCAATTCTTGCCACGGCGCTAGCGTCATTAGTACATCGTCTTGAAGTCCTTGGCTTCATAAGTATGTCAAATGAAATTGTAATGAAAACGCGCGCGAATATTGAAAAGGAAAAACGATCTCAAAAGGAACGTGCAGTGAAGAAAAAGAAACAGGAAGAACAAAGTGACAATCGGTTGCACGAGTCAGTCGACGAATGGGAAGAAGATTGTTACCTTTGTAGCGAAGGCGGTGAACTTGTGTGTTGCGATGGCTGTCCGCATGTCTTTCACTATTCGTGTATTGGTTTGCGACGTGTTCCTCGTGGTAAAATCTTCTGTCATGAGTGCGATACATCTGTGAATCCAGTCGTTTCTGCGTCCAATGGTGGTAAGAAAAGTCAAAAACCATTAAATAAACGATCACGATCGGCTCATTCCCCATCCTCACGGAGTCGACGCCGAAAACAAGGCAAAACCGACAAGATTAAGTCGGACAATTCTGATTCGGAAGCAAGCGATATGAACTCGGAATCTGGCACATCTGTGACGTCGACTCGCATCTCGGTGCGACAGGCTCATACAGGACCAAAGAGCTCAGACGATCAATGGGATATTGACTGCAGTGTTTGTGGTCTTGGTGGCGAGTTGCTCTGTTGTGACGGATGTCCACGTGCATTTCATGTCAATTGTATTGGTCTCGTTACAATTCCAGAGACGGAATGGTTTTGCAACGAATGTAATTTACAAACGTGTGGAACTTGCAAGAAAAACAAGATTCGACTTGATTCGCATGTCATTTGTGGCTCTGAAGACGGTTCCAAAGGCTGTGATCGCGTCTTTCACTTGGTGCGTCAAATTTTTAGCTATGTGCTCAATTGTGGTCTAATCTTCGTTCTTTTGTTTTTAGAAATGTGCTAAGCTCGATGCTGTTCCTGCTGAAGACTGGTATTGTAAGAAATGCAGTACAAAATTGAATCTGGTAGGAAATGATTAAAAGTGGGCTACAAGACATACACACATGACAATTGGATGCTTGCTGTAAGGTTTTGAATAAAGAAAGTGACGAAATTTGTGGTAGATTCATCGATTGATATCTTCATCATTAACGATTGAATTGTGAAACATAGTCGGAGATATTTAGATATTTACGGTTCGAATAATTTTTTTTATTGAAACCATTAACAGTTTGTGTGTGCGGGTGAGCAGTACCTTATTCTACGGTCGAAGTATTGATACTAGTACAGACAATCCATTACAAATTTGATAAAATTGTTTTGAACCAATATGGTACGATAGTACAAAATTTACATTGCAGTTTGGTGAAATTGTGAGCATCGAAGTATCGATGTCTATGAAGCTGATGAACTCCGAAGGGAGAGTCCATGTGGTATATGTGGGCTGCTAGCCGCACATCAGAAATAACAAGACGTTTTTGTAACAAGAGATAGTAATATGTATTTATCTAGGATTTAATAAGCTGCAATAAATCTTAATATATGAACTCTTGAAATAGCTAAGTTAACGAGACACATATTTGGTCTCGAGTTCGCTCCTGGTAGGGAGCAAGTGAAATGCCATGAGTCATGGATTGAACGGAAGTCTAAAATTGAGGGTGTCATGCAATTCTAAGCCGGGTGTATCATGTGCGTCATGCAAACTTTTGCTGGGAAGTAGAAGCGCATTTGTCGTGGAAATGAATTGCTGGCTTAAATACCGGGTATCACATTATTCGAGTAAATGGGCATCAATGTTGCTGAGCGCCTTGAATAGACTTAAAAGACCGAAGCGGTGGTGGTATGTGTTGCGGTCTCCAGAGCGTAATATCGTAGAGAGACTTCATACCGCAGTCTCTCGTGCAAGTACTGATCAACTGATTTTCGCAAAAAGAGACAAGATCCAACGATATATCGGCTTTTTGGTGATGCTAATTCAGCACTACTATACGACCCGCTTACCGTGTGAAGCAGAGAAGCTCCACGACTTCCACTAGTAAAAAGAGTGGCCAAAGTTAAGGTGGTGAAGTCATCAAATTGTTCATATTGTGACTTAATAGAAGAAGGTTACCACGAGATATCCTCAGAAGTGAAAATAAACTCATTATGCAAAATACCTCCCCGGATTGGGAAGTGCGCCCTGAATTGATATTGTTCATGTAGCCTTAGATCGCTTCATAAAATAGTGACCCTTTCATGGTAAAAATACGATTTTTTCTCATGCGTGAAACAAAGTATTTTAGAAAGATGACAAAAGTGATTTTCCTGCTCATTATTAGCTTTCTATGCCTGAGGGCTAATGGCAGGCCGCAGACTGTGCATTCTGCACCCCTGTAATAAGCTAGATATCGTCAAGAGTTCGGTACGAATGCAAATTTTATGATTGGCCGTGCTGCAAAATTGCATGAACAATACTTTGGCTGGCTCTCTTGACCAAGTTGATATATTCTATCAACCGCTCGGGGTAGAAAAGGATATTCTTCACACTATAGAGAGTCACTCGAGCGAGAAGTTATAGAAGTGGCTGATAGTACCACAAGATGTCCTCACGCACCAGCAACGTTCAATCGTTTGGTGATGCAGCTTTTCAGAAACATCGGGGCTATGCTTATACCTTAAGCAAAGATACATTCCGTAACGGAATCACGTGATCACACAAGATTGTGTAGTCACACACGATGGTGTGACTACACAATGTTTTGGCTACACTTTAACAACATGCCAGTACATGGCTGGAACAGCCAGTAGATAAACCTTTTAGTTAGGTTTTACTATATAGAAAACCTATAGATTAAGATATTGGTGGCTCTGCTGCAGATAAAACAGAGAATTACAGTTTACATTTTAAATGGAAGGGGTAATTAGCCTTGGGTTCATGCTCTTGGAGTAAGCGGATTGCGATCCGCTACACTCGTACTGGTTCTAAGTACAGAACGAAGGTCGCCGACCTTGACTAAGCTTCTCTAAGCGAAAGAGCTACGGCAGCCCTGCTGCACTTGGAAGCACTTGTAGTCGTTCTACACCTGAGTCATTATGACTGATACTCTGTGAGGATGGAGCAACTTCCTATTTGCCCCAGGGCATGCAGGACGGGCTTAAGAAGCCGATGTCTCTCTGCTTGGCCCTGAGGGCGTGCAACACCTCGCTTTGCAAGGACTTGAAGCGATCAAGCAGCACCAAGATCCCTAGGGAAATGCTCTGTATAGCACCTACAGCAGAAGATGTCGGCGTTGACTGCGTCCATGACGCCACCGTTGGCGACGGGTGACCACCCCTTAACTCAACCCGCTCATGATGAGGGTTTAAACCTTCGAGGCCAAGGATGAAGAGAATATCTAGCTTTGGGAGAGGAAGGTCGAGATGACCGTGGCGTCCGCCATGCTTCAGACCGAGCAACAGCGCGTGGCGCTAGCTATCCCTTAAGATTGTAGGTCGAGCGCGAAAATGGAAGCTGACGTGCGGCACTTCGGTCGAAGCGGCGTTTCCCTCTTTAACGGAGCTGAAGCTACAGCTATAGCTACCACGAGTGTTTTCGCCACCTAACCAGGCATATCGCGTGCGATCGCCTTTCCTTGCCGCCTGACGGGGCAAGAAGGAATTGGTGGACTCTGTCCAAGAGTTGCGTACTCTCATTGACGGGATAACAGCCGATCCTCTCCCCGAGGCGGTCACAGTGACCGTCTTTATGGAGGACCCTGGCACTGGCGTGGCCAGAATAGAAGACTTCCGTGTACATCCGTCTACTTTTTTTGAAGAAGCAGTGAATACGGTTGATTACCAAATTCAACTTTAGGTCGATACGACTTGGTTGGAATGCTTACCCTCAGATATCGTCGAGCGGTTTGAAGCCAATGGATCTCAGCTATGCTGAGGACGAGGAGGCAGAGCTCCAAGCTGCCGAGCAGCGTTCGAACACCCGAAAATGTTTTGTCTGTGGAGATACCCATCAACTTTGGACTGGTTGTCCCTTGCGAAAGGCGTGTCAAGGTTCATCAAACCGACGTCCCACTTCTCACCAGTCTTTTAGTTTTTCCAGGGAACACGACAACACCTAGTAGGCGCGTGGCGGCCTACTGGAGAAGGAGTGGGTTCTGTCAAGCCTCAATGAGGTAGAAGACAGCAGGATCCAGCCCCGAAGAGTTCCGTGAACACGGGACGTGTGTGCAAGACGGGCTTGCTGGTTGTGAAAGCGACCATGAAGGGCTTTGAGAAGCCATTATAGATTCTTATCGACTTCGGGGCGTCGAGCATAATTGCTTGACGCCCCGACTGCATACCATGGTACTCGAACGCAATGACGCGTTTGAAGTAATACAGCCTATAACATTTGCTAATCGACGGGGACACGTGTCACAGTGCCGAAAGTTTCTGTGGACCTCGGTGTCAAGCTGCTTGACTTTGACTGCGTGGAACGCTGCTTGGTTGACCACATCCTTGGTATGACATGGTTGGAACACCATAAGCTTTGGATCAACCGGAGGTCGAAGACATTGGGCACTACGCGCACGTCTCCTGGTGGAGCTTTGGTAAGTCATGAACTCACCTCTGCAGAGGCAAAGAAATGCTAGTGGCGCAGATACTGGACTGAGGCGGCCAACGTGCTAGAGATTAGAGTATCCGGGTTTATGAACACCGAAGGTGTATCGGACAGGAGTTCCAAGCGTGGCTCGCAGGCTGAACGTGGAAAGGCACGTAATCCGCTGAGGACTGCTCACGTTTTCAAGCACTCGCTGCATGTCGCGAGTGACATGGACGGTCGAGATCCGAGGAATCTTGGGCATGGGTCTTCAGATGCGCGTGGAGTGGCACTTCTTCTACCGGACAAAGACAGCGGAGCTAGCAGCTCTTCGGTTAGTAATGCCAGCAATATCAAGGCTCCAGTGGAGCAGGAAGTGGGGCGAAAATGGGATGATGCTAAGTACGTATTCCCACTGGTCTCGCGGAGATGTACAGCCTCTGTGGAGAAGCAACGGCGACATCGTATGTTAGCTGCTAGACTCCGGGCGTCGACTCTGACCCAGGATGTGTTTACCGCAGGCGATAGCGCACAGCTATACACCCTCGTCAACGATATGACGGGAAGGAAGACGGTGACGTCATCGTCGATGCTTTTTTTTGCGGTGAAGCTCATTCTGAGCTCTTTCGAAGAGTTTGGTGATACCTTATTGTCAAGCGACTAAGCCAAAGTGGTCAGTATACGACCGACAGAGGAGATTTTCTCGTATTCACTCCCGGATGAAGCTGTCCTCAAGAACACCAAGAGGGTGCCGAACGCAAGAAGTGGATCTTCGGCCCTGAAGAATCCGCACTATCCTTTGGTGAAGAAATTGCTAGACGTCGTCTCCCAAGACCCGCCGTTGTACCTACCCGAGACCAAGGTGTGCGTTTTGAGATTGGCATGGTATCGGGCGCAAAATACTGCGTAGCACGCCAATGGCCCCTGCCCAAGGAGCAGTGCGACGTCATTGACGCATTTTTTCGCGCGAAGCATGACGCAGAGTTGGGACGTGAGAGCAAGTCTCCCCATTCGACACTCACGTTTTGTGTTCGGAAGCCGAACGGCAAGTGGCGTATCGGTCATGCTTAGAATAAGCTCAACGCTGCCACCATTTCGGCACAGACGCCGATTTCTAGATAGGATGTTCTTCGGAACAACATGGTGAGATGTACGAAGTACAGTGCGCTACTTCGGCATGATGCTCAACGGAGCTCCGATCACGAGAGATCTCATCCTCAAGGGCTCGAAGAGCACCGCGAGTCACCGGCCGGCGGTCAACCCGGTCGTCACCGCCCGCCCCTGACAGTTCTCGATGAGAACGATGACGTCCACTATCATGTGGAACGTTTAGTGGGACGACGTCTTCACCAGGGTCAAACCCAATATCTGGTGAAGTGGCGGGGAAATTCTGACTCCGAAAAGTCGTGGGAGTTTGAGGCGCCACTTCGGCAAGATTGCCCAGACGCCGTAGACTATTTTGATTGGAAAGATCAGGATGCCCGCATCATCAGATGCCCCGCGCTTCTCGGCAACAGCCAGGGAAACAGAAGGGCCATGAGCTGAGCTCAAGCGGTGGCCCTTAGCTCTTGCGGTCGCAGACACAGAGCTCGCGGGAGCGTTAGGAGTTGCCCTAAACGTCGCAGGGCGATGTGCTTTAAGTTTGGCAAACTCAAATTGGAGGTGTCGCTCCACACGCACTCCCACTTCCTTGTGGCTCAT